GCTCCATTCAACCACAACTACCACTGCGAACGATTGTCCTGCTTCAACCCATCATGTCAATCCTACAATTGCCTTGATCCGAAAGCCATTGACTGAATGGCAAAGTCCATGGCGTGAACACAACCTTCTTGTCACTCTTCTACAACACACGCTCTTGCGCACTTCTCTTCCACAACCAATCGTAACAGCATTCATTCCAGCAGTTCCTGTTATCATTGTCTCTACCCCATTGTCTCGAACAGTGTTCTTTACTTGCAGCGACCTACCTTGCAGCCTTTTTTACGTGAACATCAAGTAGCCATGGTATAGAAGCGACTTTATTTGCATGTAGCGACTTGCTTTACGACACACGATTTACTATGGATGATGCCATATCAGCTATCAAGGATTACGAGTAAACTTCACCAGGTATGAGCTGCGATGGAAAATGGCCAAGGAAGATTGACTCACAACTGGATGGAAAAGGAAGCATGTCAGCAGCGATTACTGCAATGGCTAGGATGGATGGATGGACGCAATCAAGCACGGTTTTGAGGATCCTTGGAATGTTACTTTGGTTATTTGGCACGTCGTCAGCAAGAAGGAAGGATCCTATCATATGAACACGGCTGAGGATGGTGGTGATGGATTGGGATGGCATTGCCGAGAGAGTTTTTCTCCTTGATGAAGGATGGTTGATCGACTATGGATGATACTAGAATACTCGAGTCCAATCACGCTGCAGCTGCTTTGGAATCCTGGATGACGGCGAGAACCAAGAATACAACGACACAATGACATCCATTCATTCCACATGATTCAAGCACACCTTCCTCATTTGATAATAACGTTGTCTTATCTACTTGATAAATGCCCACACTCCATGTATTATGTATTCTTCGATTTCCATTAAATGAATATTGGATTGAACAGATGTGGATCACTTGGTTGGTTTCTGTTAATGGGGAAGTGGTTGCTGGTTAAACATCGACAAAAAGAACATTGCTCATTCGCGCATCAACAATGCATCATCCTCACGTGACCAAACGTATCTCACGCTGATCTAGAGGCATCTCCAATTCACTCATTAGAAAAGCACATGATTACACTTGCAAATGATATTCCCACATGCTTTCATGTTAAAGCATTAGCCAAATGTGGGTTGATTAAGGAATCATTCACCTGCTGCCATAACGTAAGGAATCATCGTTCCACAATGAATGGCTAGTCGTAGCCGCCCGCCCAAAAGAAACATATAGTCACTTTCATTGCCAGTATTTATAGTCTTTTATATTACATGCATGCTGCATTGTATGCAAGTTGCTATAATACAAAGCCAACACTCTACATGTTTTGTGGGATATCTTAATATGACATAACAGCAGCCACTGCTATTCATCTTTCATCTTCATCAGTCGATATGCATATCCGTAACTTCTTTACTGCTGCCTCCGAATTGGTTGACTATCATGACACAAGCATGATCGATAAAGTATCAGTACATGAAGGAGGAGACCGAAATGCATGAAAATGGAGGACATAAATGGGATGAGATTTCCTTTTCCGCCGCATGTATGCTGACGACATTGGAGGCGTACTTGTGTGTATGCGTGTGTGTACAATCATATCATGATGAAACAAAAGAAGGAATAAAGATGAATGATAATTGGATGTGTATTTGGACGACATCGGTTTCGGTTAATTTATCATAAAATGGGGGAGACAATGTGGACCCAGCGTTGGGTTATTATCCAATCACATTGTGATAGCTGCTGGCCCTGAACCAATCGGTCCTGCCAGCGACAGAAAGCGGGGTGCTAGGCTTGTTCTCTTTCTCACTCACACTCTCTTTTTTTTCCCTTTTCTTTGTTTGCTTTTCCCTCTCTTTGTTTCTACTATGGCAACGGACTTACCCAAAGATACTATCAGCGGGTGTATGCCAAATGATGATGACACAGCCAAAAATATTGCAGGGCTTTATTCACGACTACAAGCCGTTATCGATAAGAAGATTACTGACCCCAGTATGAATCCTGAAGCCAAGTTCATTCCTCTTCCACCTTCACTCCCAATGTCTCCCACCACATCATCGCCAACGTCGACTCATTTCCCAACTCAACACTCGACAACCACTGCAACAAACAACAATACGGATGCTACTACCCCACGCTCTTCTTCGTCCGCGTCGTCGTCGTCAACACCACCTGCTCCCGACTGTTCTTGCCGACACATTTTGGTATCCAAAGAATCAACCCGATGCAGTCTTTGTGATCGAGTGATTCCATTATTGGAACAGTTGCACCGAGAGCGTGATCAACATAAGCAAGAAATCAGTGATTTGGAAGTACGAGTACAAGAAGAACAAGCGAGAATAGCTGAACAACTTGAAGAGATTGAAACGTTGCAGACAACCGTGGCCGATGTGGAACAACGTCTTGGCGTCAAAGATAGCGAGTTTAGGGCATTACAAAGTGACATGGAAATGTTAAACGACAAGTATGTGGATGAGATTGAACGAGTAGCCGAGATTCAACATTCCAAGGATATGGTTGAAAACGAGTTGGAAGATCTTTCACGACGACTTTTTGAAGAAGCCAATGGGATGGTTGCCAATGAAAAGCGAGAAAAGCATCAACTGGAAATGGCACAGCGACAACTTGAAAAGCAACTTCAGGAGACGCAAGAGCGTTTGGCAGCCGAGCAAATGCAACTCAAGGAATTACGACAACGCATGGAGGATATGGCTCATGAACAAGAACAGTTGAAGCAATCAGCCGAAGAGCATGCCGAGTCCAAATCCATCACATCAACAACAGAAGGAGGAGGAGGAGAGAATAATGCAACAGCAGCAGAATCATCAGCTTCTGTGGATGGATCATCAACGAGTTGTGGAGGTCATGTTACAATGGATATGACAGATCCCATGTTGCTATCTGAATTCGAAGACTTTATCAAGATGAGCGCATCGCTTCCCCTGAAAAAGTTACATTCATCCATCTCCTTTTTGAAAAATTGCCTTTCAGAAGATGTCGAGCCATGCTTGCGCTTTGGTGCCAATTCAAGATTATCAGCACGCAAAGTGGCTGAAGCGATTGTCATGAATACCTGCTTTATTGAAGAGACACCTGTGGGATTTGCAGAAGAACAAGCGCGTCGTCCTCCCGATGTGCCATTACGGATATCAGCATCCAAGACCATGCTTTGGGAACGTCTCAGCAATGGTGGCAATCCTGCTCTTATCTTGGGTGCATGTCAAGCCTGTGGTCGACAAGATCAGCATCCTCTACCTTATCGTTTCAGAACATCTTATTTCGATGATTGGGCTTGTATTGATCGCTATTGCCGTGATCGTCTTGTCGCCGTATGCGAGTTTTATGTATTCATCCGAAATGTACGCCAAGGCTACTACAACACTCGATCGTTGCCTGATTTGTATCAAGAATGCATGCGATTACGTCTTCAAATGTTTTATGCGAGGTAGGCTTGAAAGATACAAATGAGAGAGGAAAAAGGTTGACTCATTAGGATTGGTTTTAGAATGGGAGCATTACCATGGTCCATGCGCACCTTAAAGCCTGAAGAACTATTGGCTGGACACAATGCAATGACACCACCCGCTTCACCTTCTCGGATACCTCCCACTGTCAGTGAATCTTCTCCATTGCCACGTTCAAAGACAGCTGTTGCATCAGAACGACATACTACCACTACCACAACAACCACAACAACAGCGAACCAGGACTTTACTGCCCATCACGCTGCAGCGTTCTTGATGTCATCATAAGCAACAACGACGTCTCAACATACCTTTTATTCCCTTGCACTATGCCTTTGATCCACATTTTTTTCTTAGTAATCCTTTTATACTACTATTACATTCGTATTCTGCCTGTATTACCGTTTTGGCATGTAGATAAGTATAATTATCCTTCTCCTCGGCAATAATAAAAAAAGAGAGGTTTCATACGGTAACTCAACGGGATGTTGTCATTAAAGAAGTGTGTTGTCATCTTCCTCGTTGTCGATGTTATCATTCAACAGCCTTTTCTAATTTCAAACGCAGCAGTGACAAGAGGATGTGTGCAAGTGGGCAAGAGGCAGCTGTAAAATGACAACCTTGTCGACTTGGCGGTGATTGCCTTGTCCGTTTTCTTTTCCGCATAATACAGCTTCTCTCTTTTTTCTCATACTCGAATCTCGACATACTCTCTTGCACCATTGAACGTTTGATTTATTAAATGGAAACGCTTACAAGCACCCGTCCTCCTGCTCCCCCGATCGATGCCACCGAACCAACCACTGCCACCAACAAAGACAAGCACACACCCATTCAAGCCTATGCCAAACTCGAAAGCGATGACCAGTGCTATTACATTCGTACACTTCAAGTGACCATGGGAAGAAAAGTGGCTCGACGTGGCACGGTCGACATTCCACTCACCAACGCTAAATCAGTTTCTCGACAACATGCTCGGCTCTTTTACAATTTCGCAACACAACGGTTCGAGATGATGGTCTTTGGCAAGAATGGAGCTTTTATCAACGACCAGTTTGTGGAGAAGGGTGTAACTGTACCACTAAAGAATAAGTATGTTGGTGGGGTTGTGTGTATAGGTGTATATGTTATTGACTGATAGCAACTTGTTTGTTTACAGGACCAAGATCCAAATTGGTGATTCTTGCTTCATGTTCTTGTTGCCACGGATGAACCTTGGAACGAGTGGTAGTGGTGGGCCATCATCACGTAGTATGGGAGATCATGGTGGCTCGGGATTGCCTCGGCAAAGCGATAAGCAGGGTGGCAAATCAGCGGCTATGGATCAGGATGATGAATCATACACCACCAACAAGGATATCAAACCACCATTTTCATACGCATCATTGATCGCACAGGCCATCAACTCGACTGAGGATAAACGAATGGCATTACACGAGATTTACAATTACATCACAACCCATTATCCTTATTATCAAATGGCACAAAATGGATGGCAGGTAATGATTCTCGCTCTCTTTTATAAAGAATGATCCCAGTACTAATACCTCTATGATAGAATTCAATTCGACACAACTTATCATTGAACAAGGCTTTTGTCAAAGTCCCTCGAGGTGATGCCGAGCCAGGAAAGGGAGCCTTTTGGACGATTGATCCCAAAGCCGAGATTCAATTCATGACACCTACAGTCACCAAGCGTAGTAGTAAACGGTCATCCAAGAGTGAAAGTCCCTTACCTGAACAACCAAGGAAACGATCCAAGAAGGATGCATCAGATGAAGAGGATGGAGAAAAGGCTGTGAAAAAGGAACCATCCGCATCCAATACAATCAACGATCATCAACCTATCACCATGGCAACATCAGCATCATCTTCGTCTCCCAAGGCAACGCATTCCAATACAACAACAAAATCCACCAGCCCTACCGCACAAGCATCATCATCAACGACACCATCTTCTTCTTCTCCTTCATTATCCACCGCCGCTACCACTGCCCCTGCACCATCCACATCAACGACAACGAGTACATCCAGCCCCGCTGCTAATAATGGGTCACCACAACAAAACAATATCCAAGCACAGATTCAATTGCAGTTGCAAGCAACTATCCGACAGCACTTGTTAGATCCATTAAGGAATCCATTACCACCTTCCATTGCTCAGCTATTACCACAAGCCATTGCACAATTGCCTCCTCATTTGGCTAGTCAATTTTCCGCCACATTACAATCAGCCCTTCGAGCACACTCTGCACAATCGAACCAAGAGAACAACAACGGTAGCAGCAGCAGCAGCAGCAGTAGCAGTACGAATAACGGCAATGGTACTTCCAATAGCAATGAAAAGAGTTCAGAAGCTGCTGCTACCTCCACCTCCACCACGACGACGACTACAGCTCCTGCAGCAGCAGCAGCAGCAGAAACTTCATCCACCACGTCTCCACCTTCATCACCTGCACAAGCTTCTACCACATCGTCTGCTTCTTCTTCAAAGTAAAAAACATTCAGCATGATCCCTCCTTGTCAATCTTTTTTGCATCGTTTATATTGTATTTATAGAATAGAATAAAGTACCACGGTAAATACCTTTTTTTTATCTTGCTAAAAGGGACATTTGCCTAATAGAGAGAGAGAGAGAGAGAGAGAGAGAGAATGTGTGTGCGGGTGTCGTCGTCGGTCGATAAGCTCATACGGCGATTATTCACATAAATTGCTCTTCCTTTCTTTCTCTTCCTCGCCTTTTTTTCCCTCTTCTTTTTCTCTTGTACTCTATTCAACGCTTTTACAATGAGCGATAACGAACGATCCGGTCCCGCCGACGATGAGCTTTCACTTCCCAAAGGCAAGTTCTCTGCCATCTTTACCGATCCCTCTTGGATCTTGGACTCACCCATGAGACAAACCTTATAGCCACGGTGCAAAAGCTAATCAACGAAATGATGCCCAACGAGATTGTATGTGCCAAGGATACTCGCGATCTATTGATCGACGCCTGTGTTGGTAAGTGATAGTGAGGGCCACCGGGGTGTTGTGTGTGCGTGTGTGTGTATCAGCCATGGGTGTGTGTGTGTGTGTGCATATAATAACACGCTATGCATCAATATAGAGTTTATCCATTTACTTGCTTCGGAAGCCAACGAGATTTGCGAACGAGAAAACAAAAAGACCATTGCTGGTGAACATGTGGTATCCGCACTTCAAGCGCTTGGATTTGAGGATTATGTCGAAGAGGTCGATGAAGTATACAAGGAACACAAGAAACAACAAAAGGTAGGAGTAGTAGTATATGGCATGCTGTTTTTTCATCGGTAGACTGATGTTCGCTGGTACATAGGAACGTGATCGCAAGAGTACTCGGTTAGAAAACACAGGCATTGCAGAGGAAGAACTATTACGGCAACAAGAAATGTTATTTGCTCAATCACGTCTCAAATACGAAGCCCAACAATAAGAGTTGTTCAATCACCATCATCCCATCCCTATTCATCCACACAACCCACATCCCACTCCACTCCACTCCATCCCTGCCAGCTATACTCTTCTATCATCACATTTTTTATTGTGTGTAAATATAGTCTTTACATGATATACATTGGTGCGCGTGATATGTAACAGGGTTGTTTTAATAAGCAGCAGCAATACCGAGTTTACGTGGGTCACTCACACCGTGCACGGTTTGATCAGGCAAACGCATCACTGCTTGTACAGCTGAAATGCGTTGTGATGTGTTTAAATGGAATACCTAAAATGACATGATAAGCAAATTCCTCCTCCCATTCAATGATCGTGATCACTACTCACCTCATGTCCACGACGAATCAAATCTTGCTCTAAAACACCACTAAAATCAGGTTCCATTACAACGGCATTGGGCAACAATTGATGATGGTATCTAGGAGCATTCACAGCACTGTAAAGATCCTTCTCAAAGTCAATCACGTTCAAAATCACCTATACATCAACCATGAGTCCATGCCCTCTAATTCCTTTAAAACCTTTTCTTACATTCAAAGTAGCGGTAGGAATCAAGGATCCACCCGATCCACCCACGGCTAATTCAAACTTGCCATCGCTTTCAATAATGACGGGTGTTATGGATGATAAGGGTCGTTTGCCAGGTGCTAAAAGAAAAACATCAGCTTACATAGAGGTCTTCGTATTCTATTTTCCTCTTACCAACGTAGTTGTATTCGCTGGGATAGAGTCCAAATGCATTGGGTTTACTACGAGAGAGATGAGTTAGATATAAAAGAAGCAACAAAGAAAAGTGATTTACGTACCCAGGAATAGAGAAATCATCCATTTCATCATTCAAAATGACACCCGTGACAGGATCCATGAAGCGGGCACCAAACAACAAATTGACTGTAGACGTCAAAGCAACTGCCCCATCATCACCATCCACCACGGACAAGTGCATTGTCCCATGTGATTCGATATGGTCATATCGGGGATGATAGTAAAGTGGGGGATAGGTGGTATGCTAAACAAAGAAAACCATGAGCTTCTTTATCATGGGGTGTTGTTGTGTCCTCTTACATCTGAAATGTTTTGACGAATGCGTGAAGCCCATTCTTTGGTAATAATCTCCTCCATGCGCTCTTGATTATGAATGTAATCAGGGTCACCAAATTCGGTACGGAATGAAAAGCCATGTTTCAATGTTTCAATAATGCGATGTAAATCGAGACCGGTGTATCCATGGAGACGAAGATTAAAACGTTCAAGGATGTTGAGTGCGGCAATAATAAGGGGACCACTCGTGGGTGTGGAGCAGCTGACAACTTTGCGACCATGATAGTAAGTGGAAATGGAAGCACGAATCTGGGGCTTGTACGACGCCATATCTTCCAATGTCATGATACCACCTGCAGCTCGTGTTGCATTCACAAGATGATGTGCAATTTCTCCCTAAGGATAATACCATCATCATTAGTATGATGCGCTGACGTGTATGTAAAAAGCATCATCACCACCACCACTTACCTTGTAAAATGCATCTGCTCCCTCTTTGGCAATGGTCTCCAACGTATTGGCAAGATTAGGACGACGGATCAAGTCACCTGCTTTGGCCAGATGTCCATTCGGGGCAAAGATTTCGCGCCATTCAGGCATCTCCATCAACCACGGCTCGGCTTTCTATGTAAGGTGAAGGGAATACCATGAGTTCATCCATCACCAAAGAGACGAGTCATGCTTACCTTGAGTCTTTCTTGGAGCAATGAAGTACATTTAAAACCTTCTCTTGATATCCGGATGGCAGGCTCAAAGAGCACACTCCATGGTAACTTGCCATGTCTACATACGTAATCCATGATGAGTAATAATGATCATACTTTATGCCATGTATGTGCTACTCACCTTTGATGAGCAAGCTCATATCCTCGAATTTCACCACTAAAAAGGGCTTTACGTTAGTACCCCTAGATCACACATACACACACAATGATGGTCATGCAAGAACATGATAAGAATACTCACGGGACAGCTACGGCCAAACCACCATATTTTGCCAATTCAGGGTTCTCGACAAACATGTCCTTGTGAGCAGCAGCAGGGGCTGTTTCACGGAAATCAATATGCTCATAGGTACCATTGGGTGAGCGAATCAGCATGAATCCACCGCTATGATGTTGTAATAGAAATCATGACATAAGGATAAACACACCCTTGACACTGCACCAATCAAATCCTTGCGTGATTGACTTACCCGCCAATGCCTGTACGAGGTGATTAACAATCAGGATTAAAGTAGACGCCATTATGTGTAAACTTCATTTACCTGTAGCAAAGCTATCAATGACACCAATACAAAGACCAGAAGCAATCGCTGCATCAACAGCATTGCCGCCTTGTTTCAAAACTAGACGCTTGTTGTTAATATTGACCTTGTTGTCGATCGATCGATCAGCTCTTGGAAAGACACCTACTTTCAATACCAGTATGGGAACACTCTTCTGCTTCAACAGCTACAGCGCCTGTTTTGCCAGAAACAATATGGCCATGGTATCCAGAAGGGTCTATGAGGCAAAGGAAGAAGAAGCATATAAGCATACGAAATATGGATTCATGCAACCCTATATGCACCTGTCGCCGAGTTTTTGCTGACAAAGAAAAGGACAATGCAGCTTATCACTAGAAAAGTCAAAGTCGTTGACCCGAGCGCAAATAATAGTCGTTTTTGATGTTTATGACGTCGAGAGCGTTCGTTGTCTTTTGGAATGAGGGGGTCATTGGGGGAGGCAACTTGATTCTCGTCCATTGTGAAAAAGTGAAAAGAAAGTGAGAGAGAAAGGAAAGAACAAGGATAATCAGGTTCTCTTCTTGGGATGCCCACGTATACACACACACACACACACACACGCAATACACACACCTTTTAAGCAGGTGCCTTTATCCAAATGAAACCCGGAATATCCGTACCGTGAAACCCAATTGGTGGAGCGTGATAGATAATTGTGTTCAATGTCGTCGGGTTGACAACTTTTTTTTGCCACATGAGACAAGGCGTTGATGTGTGCATGACGTTTTACCAATCAAAAGTCAATTTTATGTACAACACTCTAGATAATTTCTGCTTCCACTATAATGCATATGGATGGGGTCACTGCACCACGCCAAAGCTCCTTGACGATCCTTGCGACATGGCATGCCATAAGCATGATAACCTCCTCCAAGACCTTTTTGATGAATGCATGTCCTTGATAGAAACAATGTGCGCCTTAGTATATGACTCTGATCGCCCTCCTTCCTTTTCCAATTGCATTTACCTCCAAAGGGCTGATACCCCATGCTTCGACCTTGCCACCTTTGCTAGTGAGTAGCTTTTTCTCCTCCAAGACCATCATCCTGAATTCATCGACAAGCTTGCCATGTGTGCATACAAGAACCAATGTATCGACATCATCCACACCTTGATAAGAAGGAACAATGCCAGGATCAGGGCAAGAGTCGGTTGTTGGATCTTCCAAGAGCGTTTGCATGGTTCTCATGAAGGAAGGAGAGGGCCGTCCAAATTCCGGTAGCATGAGGGTATCACAAGTGGACCATGACGAAGATGACGAGGGTCGATCAAAAGCCGCTGTCAAAGAGATGGGTCGATTCGTTGCCTTGTGCTTCTCTTGACGACAATGGATCAATCCAGAAAGCTTTGCCACAAACAAGATACCCATGATACCCGGAAGGATCTATGGAAGGAGGACGCATATAAGTATGTAAAATGTTGGTTCATGCAACCACCCATGATGTACCTGTTTGAGTTTTTGCTGATAAAGAAAAGGACAAGGCAGCTTATCACCAAAAGGAACACGCAGCCAATAACAGCCTCTTTTCATGCTTATGACGTTGAGAATGTTCATTGTATCCAGGAATGAGAGGGTCCATTGAAGGGAGACAGCTTGCCATTGCGCCCATTGCGAAAGAGAAAAGAAAGCGAAAGAGAAAGGAAAATCAATGCCTGCTATTGGACGACACTTTCCTAGAAACCTTTTTGCGCATAGTCCATGTACCCCTGTTTCATTTTTTCACATCCGCACATGCACGCAATAAAGGCATTGATCCTGCTAACGGATGGCTTAGTAGATGGTTTGAAGGTGGTGGTCATGGAAACGGTTGCTATACAAAAGCTGACAACATTCATTTGATTGATGATGGTTTAAGAAATGACCGTGCGGGTTGCATTTATATAACCTTTTTCTGTTACAAAGAAGGGGGGGAATACTATACTACAATATTTATTTTTCACCATCGACGGGGAAAGCGCATTTACAATCCAAATCAACGCACTCGCAGTGATTGTTGTTGATCGAATACTATTCAACAACTTAAAGTTAGCATACTTGGATCATCTTTTATGTATGATGATGATGACAACGACTTACCTTGCCGTTTGCGTAATCAAACGAGTAGTAGGTGGTAGAGTAAAGACCACCAGTGTGTGCATCAGTGATGGTCAAAACGTAGTGCAAGTAGTTATCCATCCAGACGTAAGGCAATCCACAGTCGGGTTGCTTGGCGGCGCCAAGGACCTTGCATGCATTGTCAAAGATACAAAAGTTCATGTCGTGGTAAAGGTTCATGAGGAAAGTGTAGTCGCCAGCGCCTTGAGAAAGACAAACGTGATCCTCGCCTTCAACGACTTCACCAACCTTGGCGGTCTTGCCATGGCCGTAGACACAAGTGTCAACATGCTTCACGTCACAGTCTGCAGCTGCGAATCCGATAAAGATGGCCAAGATTGCGAAGAATAACTTGTTAAAGAACATTTTTTTCGTGTTGTGATTGCAAAGATTTACAACCAATTCACTTGGCTTTTATATCCAAAAGCCATTGGGTTTCGGAACATTGTAGGATGGTACCTTAGTCTTTCGGGAACGTAAATTCAGGTAATACGAAAAAAATTCACCTTTACGATCTTTGTGTGATGTTGCTCTCGTACAAGAGAATTGACATATCGAGTTGGTGTCGTATACAACAAGAGGGCTAGCTTTGACGGATACTCGTATGTTGTTAAGCTTTTGTGTGGGAGATCGATGATTCAGCTCCGTCCAGGTCATACGCAGGTGTTGGCCTCTCTCATACTTTAAGCTTGGGCTTGCGTATGAAATATGCACAAAGGAAAAGACAATGATTGTTTCAATGGGGTGCCTTTATTTATATGTTTGTTGTCGATGATGGCGTAATAAAGAGATGAATGTTGACATGAAGGAGAGTCGAACGCGGCGGCGCCCGCATTGATGATCGGGACCAAGCATGGGTTAAGAAGATCAATGATGCATTTGTGCAAGTCATGCGTGTGAGACGTGCCACAGTAGTAGAGCAACGGATCACCCTATGATAAAATTGTGATCCATGGCTGTCCTTTGCGCCATCGCCTTGCACATGAGTAGGCTACTACTACTCAGATGGATGAATCCTGTACCTGAACACAACGTCACCTTGGTAAGGTTTAGATCAACTTGTACATGATGAAAGTGAACGATGTATACCGGTTTACGACATGTATTGGTACATTTGGGTATATATGCAATAGGCCGTATGGGACCTTGAATACGACAAAAGGCCATCAAAGTCTCTAAATCTAAGATTCTGGCATGAATTTGATTTTCTGGACATTATCATTTTCTGCTTTCTGGAAAGGGATGTATGTACCGGATCGTCCCAAAACTATCTCAGTTAGTCTCATTCGACCTCCCAAGGTGATACCATGGATGCACGCTGAGCAACGCCATTATTTTCAGATCATTATTAATTTTTTTCCAAAGCCGCGCACCGTGGGATAACTTGAGTAGAATGTCGTAAATGCTGAACAAAAACACGGCTTTAACAGATGTGAAAGTAGAAGGCACAGGTTTCTTGTTTGACGCATTGTTACCGGACGATCGACTTTTGTGGTATCAATGCGCTACGATCAATGCCATTCATTGCACGTGGCGCGCCCTTTAAGGAAATAAGATTATGCCTTGTTCCAAATCGGGCTTAGAAAGACCTTCATTTGATTATGCCTAATCATGCATACAAAACGTTATTTTGGTTCGTCAATCCCGACAAAGGCCTGGCAAGAGATGAAGGTGTGCAATTGGTTCGTTCTCGTGAAGGGGCATGAACCGGCCCCTCTGAATCATCTTGTGCTGCCCACGCATAACGTATTATTACTGGAGAAGAGCATGTCAACTGATAATGGATTCATGGATAGCGTTTATGAATGAAGAATCTAACAAAGAGGTTTCTATTATGTGTGCTGTGCGCGTGTGCGCGTGTGTGTATGAAGACAACAAAGCACCGCATCACAGCGGTCAGCATGGTTTTCCTGATTGGAAACAATGACAGCATCCAAACACCTCTCTTTGGTTGCATGCGGCACAATCTTCTCCCATGACATGATAAACTTTATCAACACCAGGTACAGGGTTTTCGGGATTTGACCTTGCTAACCTGAGGCAGCTATGCGGGAGCTTTGGTGACCCCGAGAACATTTACTTATGCTTACTCATTATCTTTATCGGTGAAGGTGCCATCGACTTTTTCTTTCTGAAACGAACACTAATACAAACAACGTCTTGTTCGCTCAATTTAGGTACGATAAGCGATTTGTGATAGTAGATGGATGTCATTGTTTAATGATGGATAATGCCTCTACCATGCAGAAGACAAAAACAAGGATGTGTGTTGTCGCTTACCATAATACTCTCATTCCATCCATATCACCTTTGATTGCTGACATCTTCAAAGCCCAAGTTGATATGAGTAGGTATCATGATGGATGGTGATGATCTTTAGCGCCTCATTGTTACCCTGCTTTCATCGCTGAGGTTTTGCTTTTTGGCTTTTTTTTTTGTACAAGGTAAACCCATATTGCTGGATGAAGTGCATCCTCATATTTCTTTTGATGTAGCTACCTTTCTGCACGCACCTACTACAAAGCTGAATTAGGTGGCAGATCCTACCAAAACCGCATGGGGCAATGTAATAACGGCTTTTCAAGATGATGTGCTGTCATTGTTCAACACCAGGGTGGCATGGATACAATTGCCATGACACATGTTGGCATGGATACGGTTGGCATGGAGGTCTTGTGCGACCAACCATTTGGATCGCCCCAATCCAACCAACCCCCAGAAGCCGTTACGTGTTCTTGCTTGTTTCCAATGCTACTGTGTCACGCATAATGGTGGTCATTCTCCGAACTATTATGCTCCAGCACCCGGAATATCCTTGCCGTGAAGCTCAATTGGTTGTTGAGTCGAGTGTGATAGATAACCATACTCATTCGGGTTTTGACAACATTTTGCTACAGGAGACTTTAATGTGTGTGGTTGCATGACGTCGGCGTACGAATCAAAAAGTCTATTTTATGTATGTACAATCTAATACTCTTTTATCCTAATGTACAATGCTAATTCATGGATTGGTCACTGCACCACGCCAGAGCTCCTTGATCACTTTGCCATGGACAATATGGCGATCCACGATACTTGGGACATGACATGCCCGTACATTACCATAAGCATGACCTCCAAGACCCTTTTGGTGAATGATGACATTGCCAGCAAATACATGACCTTGAAAGAAAAACGATAGGTCTTATTAGTACGACTATGATCCCTTCCTTTTCCAAGTGTGCAATTTACCTCCAAAGTGACTGACACCCCATACTTCGACCTTGCCACCTTTGGTAGTGAGTAGATTTTTCTCCTCCAAGACCTTTCTAAATTCATCGACGATCAAAGGACCCAGGATACCACATCGCTTGTCACGCATAGTGTGTGTGCATACAAGAACCAATGTATCGACATCATCCATACTTTCATAAGGAATGCCGGGATCAGGTAAATCTTGTGTTGTTGGATCCTTCCAAAGAGCTTGCATGGTTTTGATAAAGGGCGAAGACGATGTCAATGATGCTGGATCCACAGCGGGGAATCGACGAAATTCAGGTAACATGAGGATATCACACTTGGGCCATTCTGATGATGATGATGAGGGTCGTTCACAAGCGGTTGTCAATAAGATGGCAGGATTGGTGGACTTGTTGCCTTGTAGTAACCATGTCTTGTGCTCTTCTTGAAGACGATGGATCAAGCCATCCTTGACGCTTTCCACCTTGGCTCGATGCCACTCTGGTGCATCCTCGCCCACACACACAAGGAGCTGTCGTGAACGGTCGTATTTGCGTAACTCGGTTGTCATGTCTACTTTTTTGCCAATGACCTTGGGAATCGGATGCTTGGCACATTGCACAAAGCCATTCTCCATGGGCTGCTCTGCTTGATCGCTGCAACAAGGTTCAAAACGAGAAAAGGGAAACGGCTCAGTGTCAAATGGGACTTTGGTACTAGACAATCGCACCCATGGTCGGGATACTCTTCCAATGCGGGTGATGGATGACAAGGAACGTAGCATAATGTAGAGAGAGAGAGAGAGAGAGAGGGGAGAAAGAGAGTATGCTTTCTGTCACATAAGCTGCACCTGTAATTATACATTTTCAACGCGGGGAGCAATCGGCCGGGTAAGGATATTCATCCGCATTGTTCATGCCCGGTCCTCCGCGCAATACATTATCATCTCCTTATGATTCGTTCCATGTAATAAATGATATTCGCTATAACACGTATGGATCTGCTGGTTGAGCATTTATCCGCTTGAATGTAATGGATTTCCACAATCAGTGTCAATATGACACCCAACCCACCACATAGTGGGTATTCCTTATAGAGGGATAAGAAGCTATTGTGAAAGCAATCGACATATCGAAAATGAAGTCAGTAGCCGCCGACCATTCTTAATCATTTATCATTAAACGGCAAAGACTTTTATGGCGCAAGTGGAATTCATTGTGCAAAATAGCTACAGCTTGTATCATGCTACATGTACCTTGAGTACGGTGTTGACGTCTCTCTCTCACACCGCCAAAAGCATTCACCTTGGTCGTACACTGTTGTGTGTAGAAGTATTCTTTTTTATGGATGCAATTCTGCATAGTTGTCGTGGCCTTATCTCAATTGCACGCTGTATTTATATGGATAGTCTCAGATTCAAGAACATTTGAATGCTGCTACAATGAAGGAGAGTCTTCAGGGCAAGTTGGTGATGTTGATAAATGAATGAATGTATGCATGGTCCACCCTTAAAATAGGACAACAACAAGCGACAAGTATTATTCTCACGGTCAAATAAGAATCTTTGGGACAGAGTGTGGCTGCATGAGCAACGTGCCACGAAGATGTAAACACACACGCATAAGAAGGTCAAAGAAGTATTGTTGTCTCTCTTTCATGAGCCAACCTTTTGCGAGCGGGGATAATGGGGCTAGGATGGAAGGGGAGTTGTGTCATGAAAACGAGTCGTCCTGTATCACCATCTGGGATGATAAGATGAGACAAAATGGTTTCAATCATCCAAGTGTGTTATGTTATTGATCTTTTGAATAAGGAGGGGATAGTGTATGTATGGTTAAAAGGGCAATGCATTCATATTAGCAGACCGTAGTAATAGATGTAGATGTGTAAGTGTGTGTGTGTGTGGGGGGGGGGTGTTGGAAATGTTGATCTGGAACAGGTCGATCCGAGCCACCACAGGGCGGGTTCCATACACATAATTCACATCCGGATTTCTAATTTGGTTCCAGCGTGGGGGAGGAAAAGACAACCGAGCACTTCTTTTATCAATATGGACTCCAATTCCACGATTCGACAAGAAGACACCAACAACAATACAAACACACCCAACACAGCCACACCAACCAGCAATCAGGAATCAACACCCGATGCCAACACCAACACCACCAACACCACTCCACAAGATAATACAAAAAAGAAGAAGACGGGTCCAAAAAGACGCAAGGTCACCCACGGTACGTTCATTGATCTAGAGCCATTCCCCATGTACTCACATGTCGACCCATTGTAGCCTGTGTTTACTGCCGTCGTTCGCACATGACCTGTGATGAGGGTAAGTAGTAGCAGCTGTTATTGTTATCCATATACCTGCTTGATTGATTGATTTACTTGCTCTCCACTGCCAGGGCGACCTTGTCAACGTTGTATCAAACGAAGCATTGGACACTTGTGCCATGATGAGCCCAAGCATTCGAATAGTTCGGCTCAAAACAACAATGCCAACAAGAATCGTGCTGTACCAACCACCACGGCAGGACCTGGCTATATGCCGCTCAATAGTCTAGGCAATGGTAAGAGATGATGATGATGATGGTATCGACAAGGGAGGGAGATTGACCAACAACCCCCCCTCCATGATAGGTCTTGGAGGCAATAGCAACCTTGGTGGATTACCGATCCAATTTTTTGGACAAATGGGAACGGGACAACTTACTTTTGCAAGTGAGCATATGGGCAATGAGATTTCAGTCATTAGGTAACACATGCACACGCACACATACACACCCATGTAGGATTTGCTTATTGATTTTCATATGGTATGATAGCAATTTCTTGGATTCATTGGATGGTGATGTGCAGGCCATGTATGGTAATAACAACAACAATGGAAACAACACCAACAACACCAACAACCCACAATCCGCTGTGACCACACCTACCGTCAATACCACCGAAAAGTTCTTTTTGACAGCAGCAGATCCCTCGGACGGCAAGCTGGAGGATCGATTGACCGAAGTGATCAATGCCAAATACGAAGCCGGTTTCTTGAAGCCTTACAATTATGTGAATGGTTATGCCCGACTACAAAAGTATATGGATAACAAGTAAGTGGGGAGGACAAGTGTGATTGAGGAAGATGCTTACATGTGTGTGGGGTAATATAGCATGTCTGCATCAAGTCGTCAAAGGATTTTGAATGTCATGGGCACTTTTCGTCCCGCTTTTCGATCGGTTGCTCAATCATTGACGGATATTGACTTGATTTTGGTGGAGGAAGCCTTTGAACGGCTATTACTGGTAAATGGGGAGGGCTTGGGGGCGGTTGTTTCTTTTATCGATTTTAACATTGAATTCTATGTAGGATTACGACCGTGTCTTTAGTTCAATGGGTATTCCTGCATGTTTATGGCGTCGAACGGGTGAAATCTACAAGGGCAACAAGGAATTTGCATCACTGGTCAATGTACCCATAGAGAATTTAAGAGAGGTAAGAAATAGTATGGAGAAGAAGGGTGCACGTGATATTGATCCAAGCTGTTATAGGGTCGTTTATGCATATACGAGCTTATGGCCGAGGAATCAGCTGTCAACTATTGGGAGGTAAGGAGAATCCACATATACCTTGGCAATGCAACTTTTATTGAATGAAGGTGGTGTATAGAAATATGGCAACATCGCATTTGATCCTGGTCAGAAGGCTGTTTTGACATCATGCTTGCTAAAGAACCCCGATCCTGATAATACCAGTGTTATCTCATGCTGCTTTTCATTCACCATACGGAGAGATAAATACAATATTCCTGTAAGTAGTGGTGGTTCATGGATATACAATCACTTTTTACTCATCTTTCATTCCATAGACTGTCATTGTAGGGAACTTTTTACCTGTGCGCTTACAATAAAGAGACAAAGAACCAGCTTTTCCTTTCTGCATTTGTTTTACCGATATTTGTGTTACGTTTTCCGCTCTCTCTCTCTCTCGCTTTTGCTAGGCTCTTTCTTTACACTTATTATTCATTCCATATGCGTCACGCCCTCTTCACAGCTATTGTTGCCGTGTTGATCGCGTTAATTGGCTCCTGTACGGCTTCGAAAGGCAACGTTCGACCCGAGTTTCTTAACTGTGTCCAGCAATGCGATGCAACTACGTGTCCTGCACAGCTGCCCCTTGCCCTGCGTTTGACATTTTGGAGCTGCAATGAGAACTGTCGGTACGAGTGCATGCAACAAATTACCGATCGCGCTATTCAAGATGGGACGCCTGTTTATCAATATTATGGCAAGTGGCCCTTCTATCGACTTTGGGGTATCCAGGAACCAGCGTCTGTTTTATTTTCAATTGGCAACGGCTATGTACATTATTACTATTACAAGATACTTCGTCGCGAGATTCCCAATGGCTACTTTATGAAACCATTCATGCTGGTGTTTGCTATGGTGGGCATCAATGCTTGGGTGTGGAGCACCGTATTCCATTCACGCGATTTTCCAGTGACGGAGAAACTTGACTATTTCAGCGCTGGTCTCTTTTTATTGTACTCGCTCTATTATGCGCTGATTCGACTATTCCACATTGAGAATCGTGTCATCATTCGCCTATTGACAGTCCTCATCTCCATCTTGTTTTTGGCTCACGTCTCCTATCTCTCCTTTTATCGATTCGATTATGGTTACAACATGATGGCTTCCGTGATCGTGGGTTCCCTCCAGTTGGCTCTATGGGTTGGATGGGCCGTGTTACAATACATCAAGCCTGAAAACAGGGATCGTCGATCGTATGCTTATCTCGTCATTGTCTCCGTGGTTGGTACCGGTGCTGCCATGTGCCTCGAATTGTTTGACTTTCCTCCATTCTTGCGTGTCCTTGATGCCCATAGTCTTTGGCACTTGTCCACGATTCCCTTGATGATCATGTGGTATCGCTTTGTATTGCTCGATACTCCACACGAAATGCGGCTGGGGACAAAGCATTAGATCTCTCTTTCTCTCTTTCATTACAAATCAGCCCTCGTGATCAAGCTATTACAATCATAATAAAACCGGCAACCCGATCTCTCTTTGTGCACATTTATTCTTCTCTTTTCTTCCCTTTGTTCATTTCTTCAACTGCGTGTTCGTTTCCTATACAATGCCAGCATCCAAAGTGGAAAGGAAATCTTCTCTAAGTTCTTGGCTCAAGCGTGCCACATCCACTCGATCCAAACGTAGGTTTATTATTGTTGTATACATCAATCAATCATAACATTTTGTGAATGTATAGGTGTGTTTGGTACATCATTATGCAAGTCTATTCGTTATGCCAAAGTATCCCTTGGCTATGTGGATGAAACATCTGTAAAGCATCCAGAAGTTGGGACCATTCCTATTGTGGTGGCACAATGTGGCTCGTTCTTGAAAGCTAAAGGTATAATAAGCCTCATGATGGTGGTATGTAGTACTCATTGTTCTTCCATCAAGGTCTATTTGAACCCTACGTCTTTTTACTGCCAGGTGACAAGCGGCACGTGGATACATTACAAAGCATTTTCGATGACCCACGCCAATCGCATGGATTGTATTTGGACTGGGACTCTGGAAATTACAGTGTACACGATGCAGCCTCCATATTGGAAAGATACCTTGACCAGCTACCGGAAACGGTGATTCCACGTGAGCACAACAGCTCGTTTTGTGCCTTGATGGGTAAAGCACGGGTTCGTCGGGTGTAACCCCCCCTCTCCCATATTATACAAGTATTCACACAATAGCTTATCACCACTAGATCATCATGAACATGAAGCTGCTACTACTACAATTGCCGACCATTTCCGACAACTCGTTCAAAAGTTGCCGATTCCTCATCAACATCTCCTACTTTATCTCGTCGATCTTCTCAGCCTATTTGCTTCGAATGCTGATGCTAACTCGATGGATGCATCCAAGTTGGCAGATATCTTTACACCACGCATCCTTGGTGAGTCATGTGGAAAGCACCCACATCAAGCTCAATCACTTGTTCAATTCTTGATTGGATCACAAGCTCTCTTTATGAAGCAACTCTATCATCATGTACCGCAAAAAGAGACCACCACCAACATGCATGTTAATCGTCATCCATCACCACCACCTTTGATGGCTCCAAAACCTGTACGACCTATTCCTATCAGCTTGATCACCAAGGAGAGCATTACATTTGTACCACCTACGCTTCATCATCATCATCATGCAAAACAACCTCGACATGATGGTGGTGGATCTCACAAGAAACGTGATGCAATGCAAAAGTCATGTGATGATGGCAGCAGAAGCAAACCCCACACGATAGCAACAACAACAAATTATTGCCAAACAACGACATCAGTATCATCATCCACATTCCAGCGTGCAAGATCCTTAATGGATGCCAAAATCAAGGTTTTGATACGGTCATGGCAAGGTTGGTACTATATACATAAAGGGGGTTAGGGGGTGTGTGTTAAAGGAACATGTGATGTGCTGACAAGACGACGCTTTTATATGGAAAAAAAAAGACAAGCCCATTGGCTATTTGATCTGGACGGCTTCCATTGCATTGATTATTGCTGTATTGATGTACGAGACCTATCAAGCGATTTGGGGCACTTGTTGCTTTGAACCTTACATTTTCTTTGGTGGATTTATCTTTTATTGGATCATGTTGATACGAGGCATCCAATGGCATGATGGTGGTGGCGAACGGAAGAAGAATGACCATAGCAACGTGGATCGCCGAAAGTATCTACGACAACGACGACGCAATGAAATACCATCATCATCACAGGTATGGAAAGGATTAACGAGCAAAACAATATATGCGAGTTCTCACTTGACGTCGTTTCTCCTTGATTAATTATACCTGCCAACGACATCATCAGAGTCATCAGCATCACAAAAAGAACGACCTTACTACTACTACTACTAGCGATACAATGAGTATTCAAAGCCGATTCAGTGAACAGTGGAGGATCCATAATGATGATGGTGACAAGGAGGAGGTAATTGTCGTACGTCGAAAAAGTCGCCATAGCAACCAAGCTATTAGCACCAAAGACAGTAATGCCAATGACAGACGAGAGGAATGGAAGATTCGTTACTACCAAGGGAAGAAATGATGATATCCCCCAAAATGGACATATTTTTGAACCCACCCCCCTTCTTTGTACACACAAACGCACGCACGCACTCATTCATTCATGTATACACACATCCTCCTTGTCATGGGTAATTTATACAATTGAATCTAGACAAGTCGTCAAAGCTCCTCACATCATCATCATCATCATTGCCCTGAGCATCCACACAGTACCACCACCCCCCTTTTCTCACAAAAAGATATAAAAAGACAACCTATGATCCATGTAAAAAGCCAGAATTATAAACGATCGTCCTTTTACACTTTAACACTATGAAAATCCAAACCTCACTTTTGCTCATTGCCTTGGTTTCTGCTACCACCACTTTGGCTCAAGTCAATCCAGGTGAAAAGCCTGCTGATCAATTGGATGCAGCCGATACAGGTGTGAAACAAGCAGCCACAGCCGATGGTGGTGCTGCCCCTGCTGCTGCTGCTGCACCTGCCAATACGGATCAAGAAGAGGATGCTGCTTCTGCTGCTGCTGCTAATACTGATAACAATGGATCTGCTGCTTCTTCAACCACCGGTGATAATGCTGCTGCTCCTGCTTCTAACACAGGTGCTCCAAGTGCTGGTGTAGCTTCAGGTTCATCCTCCATGGCCGCCCCTGCAAGCACGGATGGTAAGTGGAATATACATCAAATAGTAGAAAACAGGGGGGAACTCATCAACACGTGTGTGTGTGTGTGTAGGTGCTTCCTCTTCTTCTTCAGCAGCTCCTTCCATGGCATCGGCTTCCTCTGGACCTATGGCTTCAGCAGCTGATAAGAAGCATCATTCTTCCTCCTCTTCGTCTTCTTATGGAAGCCATGCCACCCATCGTGCTAATACAGGCTCTCACCAATCCATGGGTACATCCATCTCTTCCACTACAGGCGTCCTTTTGGCTGGTGCCATGATGGTCCCTGCCGTTTACTTTGGATTGTAAACCCCCCCCTCCACCTCGTCGTCATCCATTTTATTATTACTACTACTACTACGTACCATCGTCATCATCATACCATCATTTTTATCTCCCTGTGCTTTTTGCTCATGTAAACGAACTCAACTATGCACATAGATAAAAAAAATCCCATACACATTTTCTATTCTTGCATCTATGTTAGTATTTTACGCATTGTGCCTCTTTCCCCCTCAACAACCCCCAAACACCCCCTTATTTTTCATAAAGATCCCATACTGAATTTAAAAATGCTGTCTATTTATACATATACACAAATGCTTTGTGCCACATTCATGCAGAAACATTGACGTACTACAAGTCAACCAATACCAGATCATGCATAGTGTACAGATGAGTAGTTGAAGTTTAATGCAAATACAAAAACGGGTCTATGTATATAAAGAGAAAGCAAAAAAAAGGGATCAACAAATAAAGGTACAATGAGTGTGTGTGTGCTAAAAGTATAAAGGGTATCATGAGGAAAATCGAGAGGGTCTTTTGATGGTTGTTGTTGTGCGATCATTTGCCTTTGCTTTGGCCATTTTGACAGCCATTTGTTTTCCTTGATCATCGACACGAATGTATTGATCGCCATCCACATATCCACGGCTGTTGCTAGGTTGAATGGCTGAAGGAGGAGGCAATGGTTCCAGCTTGGTGTGATCAGGGGAGGAAGGAGGGCCATGGATATCACCTTTGGTAGTGGTAGCAGCAGCAGCAGCAGCAGCAGCAGCAGCAGCAGCACGTGATTGTTGAGTCATTTCATGATCTAAGTGTGTGTGTATGTAATTAGTATTACGGTTGTTGACATGGCAACGCACACATAATACTTACTTTTTAGAAACTTTGTCAACTCCAACCATCCACCGCCTACGCGAACCATGACCACCTTGCTTGGTAAAATACGGCAATAGACGAGTCGTGGATGTTCATCACCAAACCAATATTTGCCAACCTCACCAGCGACACGTTTGATCTTCATGCGATAAGGACTATCATTGACAATACGACCCAAATGGACATCCAATTCATTCTTTGGATCAGCCACATACTTTTTTGAAGAAGCAGTGGGTGTAGGTGTACGTCGTCGAGGATGATGAATGCTTTGTCGTCTTGGTTTCTTCATGTTCTCATTACCAACAGGAGGTGGTGGTGTGGGCGTTTGTCTTCGACTCGTACGACCTCCTGGAGATATGCTCTTTGCCATGGATAACTTTGTAAAGAATTCTTGATCCAGTTGCTGAATGGCAGATTGAAGTTCCTTTTCTCGAGCCGTTACTTTGGCTTGGACCTTGGCCCATTCTTCAAGGGTTGTATCAAGTCGATTGGCCACTGAGGAATCCATAAATTGCTTACGAGCCTCACTCCTTGCACTTTCAGTCAACTCAGTCATACGCATATCAATCTCCTTGTATCCATGAACAAGCTTCCGTAGTTGCCCTTGCAAATCACCTTTGCTGATACGATTGTTGGCCATCTCGGATGAAGGTGGTGCTGCAGTAATACTCTCTTTTATCAATCGTGTCATGCATGCCATTTGGTCCTTCATTTTTTCAAGAATATCCATAAATAGCACCATGTTGCCTTCCATTTCAGCTTGTTCCTGTCGCTCCTTAACCAAGACTTCCAATTCTTGTACAAGACTTGTCAACTCTTGGCGTTGTCGTTTGAACTTTCCATCCTTGTCAACCACCGTAGCAACCAACTGGTCAGCATCCACCAAACGCTTTGCCAATCCATCCGCCATAGCATCTTGTATCTCCTTGAATTCTTGTTGCTCCTCAGCCATGCTCTTGCCATCCAGCTGCATAATGCGGTGTTTGAGCTCACCCACAAATCGGATCGCTTCAGCAAGCTTGGCACTTGCATGTTGTCGCATCTGCGTATCTTGTAACTTGCTCTTGGTCTCTTCAGCAGATACACGAATACGTGCCCATTCCCGCTTAATGGTATCTTGACGACGATCCATGGATCGGTTGACGGAGGCAATACGTGTCGTCATGCCATGGATACGGTGGAACCCAGATTTGATCTTGCTACCCATACCCAAAAAGTCTTGTACAGCTGTCTCAATATCATTGTAGCGCCTTTCAAATTCTGCAAGATCTGGTAAGAGTGCTCCCTTGGTACGTGCAATACGTGCACTACGTGCAAAGCGTGCCACTGTCTCCTTGAATTCATTCAATGATGCCAGCATTTCTCCTTCCGCTTGAGCATGGTTGCATACAGAATCCAGAATACCCACATAGGCATTTTCCACATTGATACGCTGATCAAGATCATTCAACAGTCGCTCAAGAGGTCGTTTCATTCGATCCGTTTCTGATTTCAACATGTCAAATGAATCCACAAGCTTGCTTGCCTGCTCTGCCAATGTGCCCTTGACCAAGCTGTCTTTGCATCGAGTATGTATACGTCGTGCCATGGATAGCGTCGAAGAATAAGTGCCAATCACCGTTTGGATAGCAGCTGGTTTCTTTTCAGCAATGCTTGGATTGGATGTCGATTGCTGTTTGAGAGCTCCGATTTGTTCTTCGCATAATAAAGAGTGTCGTTTGATCTCATCACCATAGGCAGTCAATAAATTGGCCTTGTCAAGCTCCGTACGACGTTGAACAAGAGAGGATCGTAGACTCGAAATGTGAATTGAGAGATGCTCACAATGCTCAATAAATGCAACGCTATTGGCTCGATCATGCTCCTTGTCATCATTGGCATCATTCATTAACTCTTCCATATCGCGTGTCACTGAATTGAGACGCTTGTCAAGTGCTGCAAGCATGTTGCCTTCACTATCACTGCTGCTTCGGCTCTTTATGCTGCTGCTCGTTGTGCTGCTGCTGTAACTCGTCATCTTGCGCTTCTCCTCCATGTCACGCTGAATGATACCAAGGGCACGTTGTAGCTGATCCACAATATCATATCGCTCCACCCATCGATCGATACGTTCAACGAGATGTACCAAGGCCTCCTGCTCAACTTGAAGCGTGTTCCATTCATCCTCCACTTGGCCATGAAGTTCATCAATCTCACTGCTAGCATGCTCTTGACCACGAATAAAATCATTGTAGCCACACAAATCATCATACGCATCACGGCACTCGGTCCATCGTCGTTGTGCATCCTTGTGAGCTGCAACCAAAGCATGCCGTTGGGCTACACGATTCTCCGCTGTCACAGTGTTGAATTGAGTGCAAGTATCCTTAAAGAGATCTTGAGCACGCATCATCATGTTGATAGCCACAGCGGCATTCTCACTGTATGTCTTGCGAAGGCGATTCACGTTGACAGTATCATACAAAGACGTCAAATGACCACGAATCATAACGATCAATTCACCAGCCGTATCGAGTTGACGTTGTGTTGAGAGCACCACTTTTTGAACAGCCTGATTGGATTGCTGCTGCTGCATATGCACATGTTGCAATTGACCCATCAAGTCATGATACACCTTGTTGTCCAAATAATCAACCTTTTTCTGCCATTGGAAAATGTTGTCATCGCTCAAAAGTGCCGCGTCGGCATCATCAATGGTGCGTTGCAATTCAGTTAGCATGGTCAACAATTTGCTGGATCGATGGTATCGCTCTGTTGGTTCCAACATCATCGTCAAGGCAGCTCCAACATAGGATGTGTCATCTCGTAATCGACGCCATGTATCCTCCATCGTCTGCTGCGTCTCTTCAATGGCATCAAATTCATCCAATGATTCATCCTCATTCTCCTCATGGGCCGCTGCATCATCAAAAGCACTGGCACAATGCTCAAACAGAGATTGAAGAGAGATGAATGTGTTATCCCGGGTCTTTTTCATGGTGCGTTCCAAACCAACAAGAGCACTGATGGCTTGTTGCAAAAGCTTCATTTCCAAAGGCTCCTTGTTCGCATTCTCCAAGAGATTCTCGTGTGTGGCAACCATATCAGCACGTTCCTTCATCCATGCATCAAGCGCTTGAGCATGCTTCCTGTACAATTGCAATTGCACTTGATAGCGTGTCATCAATTCTTTGGATTCCCATTGTTGCTCCAAGCTAGCAGCCATCTCAAAAAGTCGTCGCGTTCGGGCTGCCAACATATCTCGGATGACTTCGTTGATAGACTCATCTTGAATCTTGAAATGATCAGCATGTCGCACAGGATATGGCATATCCTTGGTGATCGTTTGATCCACATTGGACCTGAATTGCTTCAAACGCTCTTGCAATCCATCTTGGCGATGATCACGGAGTAACTCTTCTCGAATATCGCTAGCCATAGCTTCAAGTTGATTCGTTTGTGAAATAAAAGCTGTAATCATGCCATGTTGCCGAGTAATGTCACCCACAATAGACACGTGCTTCGTCAATTGCGAATCAACCTTGTGTAATGCTTGCTGCTTATCGATCGATGCATCATGGTCGATACGCTCATTCTCCTCCAAAAGCTTCTTCACATGCGTGGCCTGATATTGATCGATCTCAGATTTGAGCTCCTGGTAGCGTTGTTCAAGCAATGGCTGATCATGTGTCTCTGTGTCCCTTTCAGGTGTCCAACGTGCTTGTTCTTGCACAAAGGTTTCAACGAGTTGATCATATTGCGAAAGCTGATCCAATACACGATCCACTTGTTTTTGCCAATCCATGCGTTGTTTGGCTTGGTCAACGTGGCGTAGTTGTTGTTCGAGAGATTCACTTAAACGTCGTTTCATGCGGAACAATGAATCCATGCGTGCTTCCATATGGACAGGGATCGTGGTGGTAGAACGATGACATTGCACTAATGCATTTCCAAAAGCCTTGTATGCCGTATCAATCTCAACCAGTTCTTGTTGTACAAATGCTTCCTTCTCCTCTTCAGCGACACGTAATTGCTCATGTCGTTGCTCAATATTATCAGCTGTAAGCTCATTTGATTTGCCCACACGCTGTAACATCTCCTTGAGACGACTCGTGGCTGCAGCACATTGAGACTCCCAATCAGCACGCTTTAAAGCAGCATCAAACATGTTGGACTGAGCCGTCATGAGAGACTTGAGTTCTTCCAAATCGAGCAATACTTCATCCAATCTTTGCTGTAGACTATCATGCTGGAGCTGCGTAATGTTTTCTTGCAACGCGTGGATATTGGTTTCTTCAAAAAGATCGATATCAGCCACAAAACGTGCATGCTTTTGCTGTCGTTCCAAGAGTTGTGCTTCTGATAAATCGGCAAGGGCATCCACGTGACATTGCCGTAACTGATCCATGTGCTTGGCAATCCAATCGCGCAATTCGGTCACTTCAGTGTCGTACAATTCCACCAATTGCTTAAGCTTATCCGAGCTTTGATGTGCATTGTAAAGGCGATCCAAGGCTGTTTCAATTTCACGCAGCTCACATTTTTTCTGGTCGACAAAGGCTCGAATCTCGTGTTGAGTACGTGTGTGATGCTCATGGATACCCAATTCCCAATGATCATCCACTTGTTCAGGAGCCCTATCCAAGAGTGTCATGTCGCTCAATGCACGCTTGAAGCAAATCACTTGGTCATCATCAACAGCATCTTGCTCCTCCTCGAGATGATCACGCACACTTTTGCCCTTTTCAATGAGCCGATCCACTTTGTTAAGCCATTCCATGATTGATTCGCGTTGTTCAAGAGTAGATGCGGCATATTTGCAAAGAGACTCGAGTTCCTTTGGGTTGTATAATCCATCCTCAATCACAACATCTGCTGCACGCTTTTCAAGTTCTCGAAGCTCTTCGCCGTATGATGATGCGGTAGTATTATCAACATGATATCGTGATGGATCAAAAGTGACCTTGACAACAAAGCGCCACACATCGTATGCCACTGGTAATACCAACTGCTCCCATTGACTCGTTGCTTGCTGCCGTTCCTTGACAAAACGTTGAAATTGCTCATGACTTTTCTCAAGCTGTTCAAGTGCATCGATCAATGCTGTACGGTCAATGGATACATCATTTGTCTCATCAATCTCTTCTTCCAAGCGACGTGCTCGATCCATCAATCGTCCGTAACCATCCAGCTGCTGTAGTTGCCTAGCAACGCCCTTCCATGAACCTCGGCGTTTCCTGCATTGATCAAGCCAAGTGCTCAATGCCGATGTATCCTCCAAAAGTAAATCCACGCGTTCTTGCAACGACAATTGTTCATCCAGCATCTTCTCAACAGCCCGAGATAATTGATCGGTGTATTCACGAAGCGATGCATGCAGCTTGTTGTTACGATCTTGATTAAATTGTGCTTCGACTTCATCCATCCATGGCTCATCTTCAGGATAAGCGATTTTGGCACCCATATCTTGTAACACACGTGTGGCATCCGATTTGAATTGACGTGCATCTTTGTTGACATCGACTTCAAGCAATTCATGCAACGAGAACAAAACATCCACAGCGGGCACATGTTGATCCACCACCACTTTGCGAGCATATTGGCAACGACATGAGATGTCCTCAAAATCATTCACCATGTCAAGTCGTCGTTGTTCCATATGCTCTGGAAGAAGGTCACCATGCATCTTTTCCATGGATTGAAATAGTTGAGCAGCCTCGGCAAGTGATTTTTCAATGTCGCCAACAAAAGTCACAAGCTGATGGAACGTTGCCATGACATGATTCGCTTTGTCCTTGTCACTGGAAGATGTCCAATGTGCCTCACCACCATCCACCGACAAAAATTGATCCAGGTCAAGTCGCGCTTTTTTGATAGTGTCGGCAATGTCATTGGAGATGAGCCGCTCCCACGTGCTACGGAGGAGAGCTAAATCCACATTCTGCATCGTTTTCAGGAGTCGCTGGTGCATATCAAGCAGCTCTTTCAAAATAACCATGGTAGCCGAATCGACAGGACCCACTTCACTTTTGCTGTTGAGCTCATCAAGGTGCTTTTTTACACGTGCAATGTCATCCGCTTTAAATCGGTCCACTTCACGCTTAAGATGGTCATGATGTTGAGATGAAGGGAGTGATTCCAAATCAAAGTCTATGCATAAAGGATCGGATGCTGTATTGCTAAGGATCGTGATACGTGCCTCGATCCATTCCCGAATACGTTTTGCTTCGATCATCCAACGTTGCACTTTTTCAATTGCCTCGCTTGTTTTGGTGCACCGATCATGCAACTCATTCATCCGCTTGACAAATCCAGCTTGATACGTCGTATTCTCCTCATCCAACAAGTCAACGTATTCTTGTTCAAGTGCATTCAACTTGCTGCGTGCCATGCTCACTTTGCTCTCAAGTTGTACCAACATGGTGTCGTCATTGTTGTCATCCTTTGTTGATTTATCAGTGACATCAATAGCAGCAAGTGTATCATCGAGTGCTGCAAGTGATTTGGCAAATGTAACCCCGCGTCGGAATAAGCTGCAATGCCGTTTACTGTTTTTCAATGCATCCTCAAGTTGCTCGTAGCGTTGCTGCAAGGCTGCATGTTGCGTAGCTACGGATTGGCGTACTGAAGGTGATAATTCTCGCATCATGGCACGATACGCACGCCACGTTGTTGTGTCGAATGTTTGGATATCAGAGGCTACACGTAAGAGTGCTTGGTTGTACGACTGCAACATGGCATCAGCATCTCCGTCCAGCGGATGACTTGATGATGATGATGATGGAGGAATAACTTTGGCAACATCCAAGAGGAGGGCTTCAAGCTTGGTTTGGGTCAGGCCTGCCTGACGCGTATATACACGAATACCATGTTCGGTGCCGACCAATTCTGATTCCACCCGCATCATATCAGCTTTGGTGTTTTGCAGCAACTCTTCAAAATATTTCCATTCCTTCACAAGCGTGTCGTACAATCGTCCCACTTGAGTTTGCTGCAATTCGGTCAATCGTATCATGCTCTCATCCTCGTCATCCTTCTCCTTTGTGGTCGTTGTCGTTGCCAATAGCAACTGGTCCCTGGATTTCTTTGCCATGTCCAAATAAGCCGCTTCCGATGCCGCTTGATCCTGAATAATATCAAGTGCTTCCATATACTCTTGAATGGATTCAGAACCCATAAACTCTTCAGGTATCTCATCAATGGTGCGTGTGTTGGTTTTGATGAAGGAGGTGACTGTATCATGGATATTGATGAGCTGGTCCAATACAGGGTTTACGCCCCGTGGCAAATGCCCCGTGAGTTGCATCATCAATCGGCTATTGAGATCTGCCTTGATACGTGCTTTGTCTTGTTCAGCCAATGTCGATTCTATTTGATGACCACCTTTCCTTCGTCGTGCATAAGATGGTATCGGCACAGGTACAGGTGCTTCTTGTGGCGTTTTATCTTCCACTAAGGAGGAGATCGTATGTTGATGTTGTTGTTTGGTGGTGGATGCTGCATCTTGTATCATGCCCTGCCCCTTATTTTCTGGGAGTGGTGGTGGTGGTGTTGGCGATGGCGATCGAATGGGTGAGGGTGGCGTTGATGGTACTAAATCACAAATATCATCATCCTCATCACCCATGGCTCGGGCAATGGCTATCCGTCGTTGTGCAGCTTTGTCTCTCCTTATAGATTCAGTGTCGGCCCGCTGTGTTTTCGACATGACCTTGTAATACTCGCTGACATAGACCATCACACTCGGCTCATAAGGATACTCGACATCAATCAAATCCTCAGGTTCCAGAAATTGTGGAATCGCCAATTGATCGCGTGCAATATTAAAGGCCATTGTCAACATCTCATGCCATGTCTCTTTGGCTGTCAAGTCGGCTTTGATACGTTTGCTGAGCATGTCGGGGATGAGCATCGGGTCATGACGGTGTAACAACAAGCAAAAAGCGAGACCAGTCCGCCATGATCGTGAAAAGTCTTGTATTGAAGGAAGCATATCCGCTGCAATGTAATCTTCCAATTGAATCCGTACCCAATACATCAATGCCATCTTTGCATCGTTGCCATGAGCCTTGTCTGATTGTGTGTGATGCTTCCGAGCTGGTAATGGTGTCATTGTAACATCGTCATTGCGCTATTATATGGCATAATCAATGAGTATACATATCGATCATTGTCTCTTTGTGTATCTTATTTACCATCTTGGCATCACCCAAAGGTTTATCCACTGAATTGAATTTTCGACTAGGTGTTGCCATGGCAAGAGCATCATCACCATCACCTTCATCTTGAGCGTGTTCCTGACGATCCGATAATTGCTGTTTCATACAATGCATATTAGTCTTAGAACATAGCCAATGCTTTTATGTACTTACAGCTATTGAATCAAGATAATTGTCTCCATGATCATTCAATATGATGCCCAACTGATACTTGATCATGATGAAGAATATCAACGCAAGTGTCTTTTTGATGTCGCCATTGACGATAGCCTCGTTTCCAATATCAGGTAATGCATCGCCTCCCACTTGTTTCTCCAAAAAGCCGAGTGCTTGAGATACATTGGATAGCTGATGGATGCGCATATTCATTCGCTCTGGTTTGGGTGCCTGTTGCCCTGACACCACCGACAACAGCTTTAATAATCGTTTGCCGTCTCGCAAGTCGGTCTCAATACGGTCAATGTGGTCATCCACACTACTGAGTTGGTGATTCACCCATTGGGTCAATGTGCGCTTTTGGATATCGTGGTAATCGGAGCCGAGGTTGGTACGCAAAACGTCGTCGAGTAACATGGCCGTGTCATTGTTGGCGCGCTTATTGTTGCCACCACGAGTTGTGAATGGGTCTCGAAAAAGTGAACCTGTGCGTTTCAGGGCAGTGCCACCATTAACTACATTGTTGACTCCTGAGAATATTGACGGAGGTGGCGGGGTGGAGGGTGATGTTCTGGCTGAGGATGAGCTGCTGGTCATGGCAATGCAGCATTCGAATTGCTGGTGTTGATGGTCGTCGTTGCCAGTGGGTGAATGTGGGGAAGAGAGAAATACGTGCACTGACGTGCGTACAAGTTGGGTATATACAAGAAGGGAAAAGAGAAGAAAAGAGAGAGAGGGAAAGAGAGAGAGAGAGAGAAACTAAAAATGGATGTAATAGGATTTGTTGTGCGGTGGAAATTACATCTAACTTCATGTCCTCTTGTGGAGCACAAATGCACTTGAAATGGAAGCAATATGACCTCCTCACATCCTCCTCCTGTCAATTCTTTTTTCTTCTTTTTGATCTATGCTTTCTTCTTCTCTCCTACCACAAACATCCTGTTTAATTCTCCCTACACCTTGACAAGGGGGCGAGTTTATAATGCACCTTGCTCTCTCTCTCTCTAGTATCACTTTATCAAACTTGACAGTGGCCAACTATCTTGCTATATCCCATATTTTCCTCTCTCCCCTTGTTGCCCGACCGACGATCTCTGCTTTCTTGTTACACAAGGCCTGGGCTCGCATGCAAATTGAGAATCAGCATTCATCCTTCCGACATTCCGGCGTTACATCGACTCTTGGACATCAAAGCTATCACCTGATTCTTAATCCTACAGCATTTGGGTATTGACATCCCAACCACCAGAGCGCATAATGTAAATATTTACCAGCATACATAATCCACTTTCAGCATAAGCACTGTACAACACAAATATAAGCATCTTCGTTTACCTACCACCTCACAACGTCTTGTCAACTCATCACCAAAAAGAGTACTGGTCGTTGTTCAATTTCACGTTCATGTTATCATGGATCGAATATTGACATTGCTCCTTTCAGACACACAACTATATATCAAAGTACCAGTATTCAAGGTGCAGCAATATTGTATTCTTATTTGAATCGTAATCTTTGCCTCTTATTCATCAAGGAACATGTACTACGATGACATCGAAATGTGATTTACAAGAAGGTTTTGGGGTAGTACTATGATAAAGGAGCATCCAATGCTATACGTTTCCAGTATTCCGGGAACCTATCAAGGGGGATACCATGAATGGCATTCTAGTACCTTGAAGAAGGGGTTATTAGCATCATCGACGTCTTCATATTCCTATGATCGTTATAAACTTTCTTCGCATTACCTTGAAGAGTAACTGGTTCACCGCAATTCGATGTCAAAGACCTAGGATGCAGTCTACCCGTGGTGTGGATTCAAGAAGAGGTGCCTTCATATTATACTTGATATGGATACCTGCTAATATTATCGCTGCTTCAGTATCGCTCTAGCCATAGCATGTATAAACCCTGCATATCACGTGCTATTGCCTTGCTTGGCTTGGTGTGTCAATTGCTGTTACACAAAATGGTCGAGCATCAAGCGTGGCTGGGTGTGCTGCTTGAATTTTGATTTTTGTTTCGAGCCATGAACAGATACCCTGGTGGTCTGACAGCATACACCGAAGTCGATTGCATAAAAGCAAGGACTGTAAAGGAGCACTTTATTGAGCAATGTGCAGTACTTCGATATTACCAGCATGCAGCTCCTTGGCGATTCGAGAAGCTGCCCTCACTTGCCCATGAAGAGCTTGGATCCGACATTGCCAATAGAATCGACAGCATCCGCCTATACCACAAAGCTGGCTACGAGATCGTTTTCCACGTCCACTTTGAAACAAAAGATGCGTGTATATCAGCTCTGAAAAAGATGAGGAAGGGAGAAGCCAACAAGACCATACGTCAATCACCTCTCCAACTATATCGGATGTTCACGTTAAAGAAAATATACAGCATTTACACCATTAGGCTACCACTTGACTCGCCTGCCAATGCTCTGAATGAGATCAAACAAGCCTTGGCACCCACAAAACGTGTGATTGTCGACATCCTGCTGGGCACAGATGACATGTTCAAAAAATACAATGGTACAGCATCGATTATTCTACAAGGACAAGGCTGCATCGATATCACTCTATACGGCACTTCTTTTACCATTTATCCGGAGGAGCAGCCAAAGATAACAGGCTACCTATATTGTAAACACTGCAAATTCATCAATGATCATGATACAGATGAGTGTCCCCATCAACCAGAGGCTCAAGAGCAACCTGAGGATGAAGGGCAATCTGAGGATGAGAAGCAAGGAGAAGAGTTTGAGAAAATTGACAACAATGGTATCAGTAACGATAGCACACACAAGACAAACAGGCTATAAGATGTATTCAATTCCCTATACCATTTCATAAATTGGATTGATATCACCCATATTCAGTTTTTTGGCTGATCGAAAAGGGGTCTTCTTTATATACTATCTGAGAGCGATATAGTCACATGGTTGTATTGATAACAATAGCCTACTCGAAGATAAGATGGGCTGACGAGCGGTGTGTGCGTGTGTGTGTCTCATCTATCAACAAAAGATGTCTGTGCATGAAACAAGAGCTGCTATTATTCATGCGGAATCGCATTGTCCAGAAAGGAGGCACATTGTTGTTCATGCCATTGACCTTACTTAACAATCCCTTTCATCCATCCTTGTCTCTCTTCATCACTTCTTTTTCTTTCCTTATCGTGTTAAGTGTCCACACCATAAAATGAGGAGGAAAGATCTACATTTGTTGTTGAATCCAATATTCATTTAATGGGAATCAAAGAATACATAATACATGATGTGTGGGCATCTATCAAGTAGATAAGACAGCCAATGAAGAGGGTGTGCTTGAATCATATAGAGTGAATGGATGCCATTGGGTCGTTGTATCCTTGGTTCCCGCCGTCATAAGCAATACCATATAGGATCCCAAAGCAGCTGCAGCGTGAATGGGCTTCAGCACTCCCATACCATCCATAGCCGATCAACTATCCTTCGTCCTTCATCAAGGATAAAAGCTCTCTCGTCAATGCTATTCCAATCCATCACCATCCTCAGTCTGAGCATATGATATGATCCTTCCTTCAGGCAACCAAAGCAACACTCCAGGATTCCTCATATCTGTGCTTGGGTTCCTAATATGATCGCTTGCTTCAGTATCACTCTGGCCATGACATGTATAAACCCTGCATACCACGTGCTGCTGCATTACGTTACCTTACTCTGAGTGTGCCAATCTCTGTGACACAAAAAGTTCGCGCATCATCATACGCGGCTGGGATTGCGCTCCAGGATTTTCGAGCCATGAACACGATTTCATATCCTGGTGGTCTGAAGGCATATACCGAGCTCGCATGCATGAAGGCACGGCTTATACCCATGCGTTTTGTTGAGCAATGCGCAGTACTTCAATATCGTTCGTCTTGGCTACTCCATCAGCTGCCGTCACTCATCGAAAAAGAGCTTGGATCCGACATTGCCAATAAGATCGACTGCACCCGCCTATACGACCAAACCAAGCACGACGTCATTTTCCACATCCACTTTGAAACAAGAGACGCGTGTCTATCAGCCGTGAAAAAGATCAGAAAACGACAACTCAGCAAGGACAGGCGTGAACAACCATCTTTCAAACTGTATCCGATGTTCACGTCAAAGAAAAGATACACCCTTTTAAACCTCAAGCTTACGCTTGACTCGCCTACCAATGCTATGAAGGAGATCAATCAAGCCGTGGCATCCACAAAACGTCGCTGTATTGATATCATTCTGGGTACAGATGACGTGTTCAAAAAGTACAATGCTACAGCGTCGATTGTTCTACAAGGAGAGGGCATCATCGATGTCACTCTATATGGCAAACAGTATACCCTTGAGCCAGTGATAAGAGGCTATCTATATTGTGAACGTTGCAAATTCCTTAATGATCACGACACAGATGAATGTCCTCATCAACCAGAGGACGAAGAGCAACCACAGGATGAGAAGCAAGGAGAAGAGTTTGAGAACATTGACAACAATAGTAGCGATAACAATAGCACACAAGAGACAATCCAGAAATAGCACATATTCAATCCCATTCGCTTATACCATTGCATAAAGATTGGCTTGATATTGCTTCTCGTGTTGGCTGATTTGGCTAAGGGAAAGGGGTCTTCTTCATATACCATGTGAGAGTGCATGATCATGTGGTTGTACTGTTTTAGCTGTATCGAAGATAAGGTTGATTGAGAAGGCATGTGTCACATTTATCAACAAAAGCTGTCTGCGCATGAAAAAAATGCTGCTGTTATTCATGCAGAAGAGCATTTTCCAGAAGCGAAGCACTTGGGTTGTTCTTTTAAGTCATCGACCATACTCAGCAATCCCTTGTATACCCTCCCTCCATCCCTTCCTCTCTCTTCATCACTTCTTTTTCTTTCCTTATCGCGCTATGTGTCCATACCATGAAATGAGTGGAGAAAATCCACATTTGTTGAATCCAACTTTCATTTAATGGGAATCAAAGAATACATAATGCATGATGTGTGGGCATCTATGAAGTAGATAAGACAGCCAATGAAGAATGTATGCTTGAATCATGTGGAATGAATGGATTCATTGTGTCGTTGTATTCTTGGTTCTCGCCGTTATCCAGGATCCCAAAGCAGCTGCTGCGTGATTGAACTCGAGTATTCTAGTATCATCCATAGTCGATCAACCATCCTTCATCAAGGAGAAAAACTCTCTCGTCAATGCCATTCCAATCCATCACCATCCTCAGCCGTGTTCATACGATAGGATCCTTCCTTCCTGCTGACGACGTGCCAAATAACCAAAGCAACATTCCAAGGATCCTCAAAACCGTGCTTGATTGCGTCCATCCATCCATCCTAGCCATTGCAGTAATCGCTGCTGACATGCTTCCTTTTCCATCCAGTTGTGAGTCAATCTTCCTTGGCCATTTTCCATCGCAGCTCATACCTGGTGAAGTTTACTCGTAATCCTTGATAGCTGATATGGCATCATCCATAGTAAATCGTGTGTCGTAAAGCAAGTCGCTACACGCAAATAAAGTCGCTTCTATACCATGGCTACTTGATGTTCACGTAAAAAAGGCTGCAAGGTAGGTCGCTGCAAGTAAAGAACGCTGTTCGAGACAATGGGGTAGAGACAATGATAGCAGAAACTGCTGGAATGAATGCTGTTACGATTGGTTGTGGAAGAGAAGTGCGCAAGAGCGTGTGTTGTGTCAAGAGATTCGTGTGTTGTAGAAGAGTGACAAGAAGGTTGTGTACACGCCATGGACTTTGCCATTCAGTCAAATGGCTTTCGGATCAAGGAACAGTGTGGGATTGACTCGATGGGTTGAAGCAGGACCAATCGTTCGCAGTGGTAGTTGTGGTTGAATGGAGCAACAGTTGAAAATGGGAGAGAAGCGGCAAGAAGTTGGGAGCGGAAGAAGTGGAAGAATAAAATGAATTGTTGAATCATATTTCTTCGTTTGAGCGTTGTTCAGCCTAATCCACTCAGATCAAAGAGAATTGAAGGATGGGCATGCTGGGCTGGAGCAGGACAATCGTTCACATGCAGTGAGGTGGGTAGTGGTGGCAAAATGGAAGAATGGGCTGTTAGCTGGCAGTTTACAAGTATCATGCATTGACCCCTGATGCTGACTTCTTGTCCCTGTTACACAAAGTTCTTCTGCATTGATGGCTCTACTGGGGCTAGCTTCTCAACGATGAACAAAGACCACTTTTCATATACATCAACACAGCATATGTAAAACATAAAGGTGCCTGTATCTCTAAACTTTACAATCAAACGTGGGTCTTTAATCGAACAGTGTTGCTCGTCAGGGTCAAAGGAGATCTTGTGTCAAAAATTATGAAGTTCATCGTGGCCAATCCAGATTTCGCAATGTCGCTACCAGCCAGAGAGAGCTGGATCCGGGGGTCGACCTCTTCGACGACGACCAAAAAATATTTTTGGGCTGTTTGCGACATTGAACGCGAAACTTTCACACAGGTGCTGTTAGCCAAAGCCGAGCTCATTGCTCTAATAAAAACCGCACGTTTCATTGTAAAGTTTGGAAGTACACACGCACCTTATGTTTGTAAGCGTGATGCTATATGAGAAGTGATCTTTGTTCATTGTCAAGTAGGTGGACCCTGACAGAGCCAAAGATGCAGAAGGACCTCTTGGGTAACTCAGCTAAAAGTCAGGACTTCAGGGACCATGCATGAAGGTACGCAACCTCATTTCAGGTCATACATTGGCAGCTAATAGCCACTTTTGTACATTTCACAACTTTTGTGCATTCTATTTGTAGGTGGACGATTCTCCTGCTCCAGACATTCATTCCCATGATTAAAGTAAGTTGATCCGAGCTGATTTGGTTGAGTTACGCTCACACAAGATTACATCGGTTGAGCTACATCGAGCGTGCTTGATGTCCAGTGATGTAATCTCTCTTTGACCGCAGCTCAGATCAAATCAGCTCGGATCAACCTGCTTTAATCATGGAAATGGATGTCTGGAACGGGCATCGTTCCCATGCAATGAGATCTCGCAACAATGATGATTGGATAAAAGTGGCCGTTAGCAAGCAATACATGCCTGTTCGTAGATGATCCATAAAGTAATTATACGTGACCTTTATTCATGCAAACGTATTTGCTGTATTTTGGCAGCCCTCTGCATCTTTTGTCTGCCAGAATCTAACCTTCCACGTGACAAGACCACTTCTCATAGCAGCATCAGCACAAACATAAGGTAAGGTATCATCCCGGCACAATGACGTGCGGTTTTGTCAAAGGCAATGAGCTCGGCTTGGCCAACAGCACCTTGTGTAAGTTTCGCGTTCAATGTCGCAAACAGCCCAAATATTTTTGAAGTCGTCGTCGAAGAGGTCGACCCCCGGATCCGTTTGGCTGAAGGCCAGCGACAATGCAGAATCACGGGACCGCCCCGAATGAACCTATCACTGACACAATTCGCGCGATACAAAACGAGCAACACTGTTCACGATTAAAGACCCCACGTTTGATTGTAAAGTTTAAAGAACTCGACTTTGCTATACACATATGCTGTAAGCGTGATGCTATATGAAGGGTGGCCTTTGTTCATTGTGAAAATAGAATGACATGGTACAGCAAAAGATGCAGAAGAACATCTGTGTAACTCAATGGATTTTACATGACTAGAACGATCAATAAAGATGTTAACTTGTACATAGCTCATCATTGGCAGCCAATAGCCCATTTCACTCCCATTCACCATTGTTTCCCAAACCAATGCATGTGAACGATTCTCCTCCACCATTACATCATTCCCATCTCCAACTTTCTTGATCCGAAGACCCAGTCAGCCGCCAAGCAAAAATCCGCAGACGTCAATTCTTGAAAGACAGACCCTGCGAATGTCTCCGTCTTTCAAACTTTTGGACGCTCCCATTCCAAATTTTCAAATGAAGCGTGAGGTTTTTATTGAAGAACATCAGCATGCTCGAGCACCCTTCTGACCAATTTTGCAAGTTGGAAGCAGGCAACTTCGGGGCGGTGGGCCGTCCGCTCTTTATTTCCTTCTTCCACCATTTGGATCGCCCGCATTTTAAATCTTCTAAATACAGAAGCCTGCAGATTTGAACTGAATGAAGTTGATCAGCATGTCACAACGAACCTTCGACAAAGTTTGAAGTTCGAAATGGCGAATCCCAGGGTAATACACTGATATTTCGGTAAATCATGAATCAGGCGCTGACCTCCATTTCCAACACATAGTAAACCTACACTAGCACCCCATCCCTTCCAGAATTTTTCAAATGAAACATGAGGCCTTTTTTTAGATCAACGTGATCGACATGACCAAAGGTATCTTGTGTGAAAGTTTCAGGTTCGAGAGGGGTAATCTCAATATCAAGGTTTGATGTATAGTGTACATGGATGTATACAAGAGGTGTCCGCCTACTTAATTTCCACTTCTTCCCTCCCACTTTGTTCCCCCTCTTCCTCCCATTCCTCAATTGTTGGCCCATTCGAGTGTCTAACTACCACCTGCGAACGATTGCCCTGCTTCAACCCATCGGCGGCAATCACAACTCTCTTGATATGATTGTCTTTGACTGAATGGCAAGTCCATAGCGTCTTTTTACCTTGTCACTCTACTACAACACGAATCTCTTGACACAACACACACGCTCTGACGCGCTTCCCTGCCGCAATCCAATGTAACAGCATTCAATGCACCAGTTGCTATTAACGAAGCTCTTTACTCCATCATTGTCCCACAGCGTTCAT